AGTGGTGGTATCGGCGCCGTCACTGCTGTCGAGTTCGCCCGATATGGGGCTCAAGTGGTGATCACCGGTCGTAATGCCGACAACTTGTCAGAAGTGGCCAAACAATGTGCGGCCGTTTCACCCAAAGGCCTGAAACCACTGGAAGTGTTGGCAGACGTGAGTAAAGACGTGGACTGTAAACGACTGATTGACAGTACGATCAGTGCATTCAAACGGTTGGATATTTTGGTGAATAACGCCGGAAAAGGAGTTTTTGCTCCGATCACTGATCCGTCTGTTCTCGACAAATACCAGGAAGTGATGGACACAAACCTGCGTTCAGTCGTCTATTTAACACATCTATCGGTCGAACACTTGGAGAAAACTAAAGGCAATATAATTAACATATCGAGTGTTGCGGGACTTAAACCGGTAAATGATCTGCGATTGAATTTACATTAATATATTAAATTAATAAACTAATTATACATAACATTTAATACAAAAACAGTCCGCCAGAGGGTATCTGTACTCTATGTCAAAGTGTGCACTCGATATGTTCACCCAATGTCTAGCACTAGAGTTGGGCCCAAAAGGGATTCGCGTTAATGTTATTAAGTAATCAATCATTACTTTTATTAAATATTCAATAATGATTAATATATTGTGTCTATTGTATAGTCCGGCGGCCGTCAGGACTAACTTCCTTCAAGCCGTGGGCCTAACGAAAGAGCAATCGGAGGGCTTTTATAGTAGATTGAGTGGCCAATACCCGGTCGGACGGGTCGGTGAGTCCATAGACATCGCGAACGCCATACTCTTCTTGGCCTCAGACGAGGCCTCGTTTGTGACGGGAATCCAATTTGTGTCCGACGGCGGGGCTCTCAACGCTCCCTTATAAATGTCTATATTACCAATAAATGCTTGTATTGATTGTTTTATATAAATGATACAAAATGTATAACAATACTTATATAATTCAATACAAAACATATGATATATTTGAATAAATTTAACGTAATAATTGAAAAATTGCAATTTGTATAAAAGGATGTTAAGATATAATAACATAATATCTAGAAATTAATTAAAATTCTCATTTCAATAGTTATTTCATTTATTCTTGAAAAAATTCACTTGAATTTTAAACTTTATTTACTGTTAAAGAATTTAATCCCATTTTTATGTTAAACACAAACACTACCGACAATTACACACACAATATTCAGTACTATTTTACTGTTTGATTGATGAACTTCTAGCTCATAATGAGAAAAATTAATGGCCTATGATTATGAATCTTAATTAAATTTAAATAATAAAAATATTCAAATAGACAAATTGTTATAATTAGTGCAAAGTATCAATACAAGAATGTTCAATGCATAAAATCAAAAATTTATATGACCTTGGTTAGATCAGTTTACGTCTAAACAACCTAACACCCAACACAACAGGTACTTTCAATATAAGAAGTTATTAAAATTTAGTGCATTTTAAGTGTATGAAAGCCATTATAACTGTTGTACTAAACAATCTGCTGTATATTTTAGTTGGTATATAAACTTTTGAAGTATTTGATTGAGTTAGAAACTGTTTGATTTAAATCAATTGTATGTAACATAATGTCCACATCGAAAAATTTTGCGGATAAAGTAGTGCTGATCACCGGTTCGAGCGGTGGTATCGGCGCCGTCACTGCTGTCGAGTTCGCCCGATATGGGGCTCAAGTGGTGATCACCGGTCGTAATGCCGACAACTTGTCAGAAGTGGCCAAACAATGTGCGGCCGTTTCACCCAAAGGCCTGAAACCACTGGAAGTGTTGGCAGACGTGAGTAAAGACGTGGACTGTAAACGACTGATTGACAGTACGATCAGTGCATTCAAACGGTTGGATATTTTGGTGAATAACGC